CACCATGTTGGTGCTTTGGAAGCCCAGGAAGCTGGCACCCGGCACAGTGGTCAGGGCAGCTTTGGAAGCCCGGGAAGCTGGCACCCAGCGTGGAGGTTGAGGCAACTTTTGGCTTCCTGGGCTTCCAAAGCTGCCCCCACTGCCCTCTGACTCCCATCCCCACTGCCTCCACCACTGCAGGAGCGGGGGCGGCTTTGGAAGCCCGGGAAGCCTTTGCAGCAAATTTTTGGATTTGTTTTCCCTTTGGCTGGAATGGATTAAATGGTTTTCAATGCATTCCTATGAGAAATTGTGCTTCAACTTACGAAATTTTTGAGTCACAGCCTCAAATCAAATACAGATTAATTTCGTAAGTCGAGGCATCACTGTATATGTTGAAGTCCTAGAGCAGAAGAAGAGGAAGGAACTTGAGCACCACTCCCACTAGCTCAAGAAGGAAAAATTATAGAGAAATAGGACCTACCCCTACAGAATACTTTTTCCCTCCTAGGTATCTACTTTCGGATATTGACAGTCACATCAGCAGATTGTATGGGGCACTTGAATGAGCGAGTTGAATGCATGGTGCTCCATCTCCCCACATTCCATGCCTTACCTACTGCTGAAGAGAGAATGCAAGCAGACAGAGCTGAGAATTACTAACCCACAAATTTCATCCAGCCAGATATCTGTGATAGAAACCTCTTTGGCATGCTTATCCATGATCATGTCACGAATGGCTGTTGATATCTCATTCATTGATCAAGCATTAAGAGCAGCATTTTGAACTCAGAAGAGGTAGAGAACATGTAATTACTGAAACCAGTGTGATAAACTATAAAACTAATTTTGCTGTTGTTAATCATCATAGTCTTCCATAGATCTCAGCCTCCCTTTTACCATCCTTGTTATCACCCTTTCATCATCATTTTTACCATCTTCATAGCCATCTGTTTTAATTTATCCTGCTGGTTATTGTATTTGTTTGAAAATATGTATTATTTCACTTTTATCGTGTTTTGATATTGTGTTGTTTATCTTGTTGTTAGCCGCCCAGAGTGGCCTTGTTGCCAGATGGTGTGGGGTATAAATCCAAGAGATTATTAAATAACCCCTGAACTTTTTTCCCCCTAGCATACTACCATCCTACCACTACTTTTCATCGAGATGGTTATATGTGTACATAAGTATCCTGATAGGTTTAAAGGGATTTTGGGACTTAGCTTCTTCGCATTTACATACCTCATCTGGTAGGTATTTAGTCCTTTCTAGGACAACTTTTGGACTATAAACACTTTTATTCACTTTGTTCGGATATGAGTGTTCTATTTATTTTAACTGAAAGGTGTTTTGTTTTGGTTTTTTAAGCCAAGGGCACATAAGTGTGCGTATCAAAAACATGTTTGCAATGGCTTGTTTGAAGTAGTGTGCTCCAAATTCATTTTAGATGTTAAGGTGGTGATAAAAGGTTACAAATAAATATTATACAAAACAATGCATATTATTTAAATAACATTTAACTGCTGTAAACACAGCCCTGTGCTTGACTCAAAGGGGAGCATTTTATTTGCCACTGGCTGAAATCCTGTTGCTTAACATGGTAAGTAGCACTAGAGTAAGTCCATTGAATCAGTGGGGATTTGGTAACTCGGTTACTCTATAGGTCTCATTGATTGATGATCAGATTCCAGAAGATCTCCTGTATGGAGAATTAGTGCAGGGAAATTGCCCCAGAGGGAGACCACAGCTGTGATACAAGGATATCTGCAAGCGGAATCTGAAGGCCTTAGGAATGGACCTCAACAGACGGGAAACCCTGACATCTGAGCATTCAGCCTGGAGGCAGGCAGTGCATCATGGCCTATCCCATTTTGAAGAGACCCTTGTCCAGCAGGCCAAGGCAAAGAGGAAGTCACAAAAGCAGCAAAATCAGGGAGCTGGATGGGACAGATTGCATTTGTCTTCACTGTGGAAGGGATTGTCACTCTCGAAGTGGCCTCCTCAGCCACACTAGACCCTGTTCCAAGTCCTCTATACAGAGCATACTGTATTACCATAGTCTTTCGAGACTGAAGGATGCCTAATGAATGAATGCTCTAGTGACTTAATATACTAAAGTGATCCTACTCTAATGCAGCTTACCATGCAGAGCAACAGGACTTCAGCCACTGATTTAAACTCGGAAGTTAAACATATGCTTTGCTCACCTTCGTTTAAGTCACTGGGGTGGTCGGTGCCTAACTTTGGACATAGTGTAATAAAGTTCAAATTTGTCTCACAGTTCTATATTCCCAGTTATCAGCAAACTTAGGGGTGTGTGTGTGTGTGTGTGTGTGAGGGAGAGAGAGAGAGAGAGGTGTGTGTGTGAGAGAGAGAGAGACTCCAAAAATACAGTAAAAGCAAGCAATTAACTGCCAGTCTTTTTAACATGCCTTCTGACATCTTTTCACAATGTTTATCTTTCTTTGTTTTAAGGGTGCTGTGGGTACATCATGTGTCTGGGATTTGGGCCTATCCAATTTTAGGAGTGCTCAGTCCATGTGGAATTGTAGGATTTTTTTTTGTCGCTCTCGCTATAATGATAATGTTCTACTTCATTGGAGAACAGCTAACAAAATGGTTGTGGGGTAAGTAAGGCAAATAGGTATTTTGTGGTTTTGGTGGCATATGTAGCACAAAGACTAGACTTTTCCAGTGTTCAGTGAGCAGTGTGTACTTTTTACATTCCTTCTTTTTTAAAAAAAAAAAAGTGCTTGTTAACAGTAATAATAAAAGCTGTGATATTCTTCTTCCTTGTACTCTAGAGTGCCTGAAAAGGATTTCTACCTGCATTCTATTTAGTTTTTTTCTCCATCAAAAAGCTGTCAGCCCAGCATGTTGCTATTTGTTCTGGTCTCTACAAAACCCTAGCCATTCCAGGTGCAATAAGACTGACTCTCCTGTACCACGCATAGTTATCTAGCAGTATTTTCTCTCTTGGCATACAATCTGTTGTTGGTAGTGTTGTTGCAACAACAACAGATTGTATGCCAATGGAGAAAATGCTGCTAGATAACTGTGTGGCATACAATCTAGTGACCTTAAATATGCAATACACAAGGCTTTGGGCAAGAGAATGTCATTTAAGTGTCTGCATGTGAAAAGAAAGAAGTAAGATTTCTTATGATCATGAATAATAGCACACACTACATTACTTCTTAGACAGCACCAGCACAGCCAGCTAATACTGTAACTAGAAGAAATGGGGAGGTGATCTCTGCAAAACAGACATGAGGATTATTTACATGTGTACATGGCTGCTGGTGGAAGGAATCTGGCTGCATGCATGCTGTTGATGCAAGATGATGACAATGCATTGCATATAGTACGTTTACCAAATATTCTAAATCATGTTATGTTCTTTTTTTTTCTCCAGCAAGACGTAGGAAGAAGTGCACATAGAGCAGAACCTGGGAATGGTATAATGTCATTAAAAATACAAGCTCACTTATGGAATCAAGATGAAAGTGTTAATTATAACTGGTTCATAAATGGACAGAAAATATTGTTCAGAGAAGAAAGCCATTAAAAGAGGAGGATAAAATTAGTAGAAAACCAGACTAATTTCACAAAATGCTTGTATAGGAGAAGTATTATGATGTGTGCCAAGTTGGAACTGACTCAGTGAGTGAGATACCTAATGATTTATCAGTGCCACAGCCCACTGAATTTCTATGGCAGAACAGGGATTCTAACCCAGGTCTCCTGAATCCTTAGTCCATTACTCTGTCTACAGTACCACACTGAGTACCCCATAGGAAAAATAGGCTCATGTAAATCAACTGTTTGCACATAAAGTTTATGTATCACTTATATGACTCTGCAAAATGCCCAGTTTGTTTAAATAAGCAATAATATAGTTAAAATACAAAACATCCATGTAGGCCCCTGAAAGTAAATACTGTGTGTTGGGGAATAATACATGGCTTCTCCCAGTCTGAAGATACCCTTGTCCAGCAGGCTGAGGCCAAGAGGCAGTCCTGAAAGCAGCAAAATCAGGGAGCTGGACAGGGGACAGATTGTATTTGTCTTCAGTGTGGAAGGGATGGTCACTCTCGAATTGGCCTTCTCAACCACACTAGATGCTGTTCCAAGTCCTCTGTTCAGAGCACGTTACCATAGTCTTTCGAGACTGAAGGATGCCTCCTGGCAGAAATGAACAACTAGCAGCATGCTACTTCAGTGCTTCAGAGGGTCTATCAAACCAAGCTATTGTTTTGGATTTGTGTGGGTTGGAATTGTGATCCTCTTCCTTTATTGATCCAGATTTACTCCAAGATTCCATATTGTATCAGTTTTCCTTTAGAGTAATCCAGTAGAACTGCTGGATAGCTCAGTGGCTTTGGTATCTGGCTGTGGAACCAGAGGTTGGGAGTTCAGTTCTCCACTTCGCCTCCTTGACAGGGAGAGGACTCAGTGATCCATAAGGTCCCTTCCAGCTCTGCAGTTAAGATGATGATTACAATGTTTGAATTTCCACATTCATAACATGTCTCCTCCATTACCTCCCCCTCTACCCTCCCCATTTTCCACCTTGCCTCATAACCTTGTCTGTTTCCCTCACTTGTTGCTGCCTGATAGTGGAAGTTTCCATTCTGAGAAGTAGGGGCTGTTGGTTTCTTCTTAACATGGAGAAGAGTCTGTAGAATTTGAAAGAAAGCTTAAAACCATTACCTCTTGCTCACTCTTTCCCTCTTTAAAAAAAATACAGTGGGGTCTTGACTTGAGAACTTAAATCCGTATTGGAAGACTGTTCTCAAGTCAAAAAGTCTGTAGGTCAAGTCTCCATTGACCTACAGTGCATTGAAAACCGATTAATCCCGTAACAGGCCGTTTTTTTTCCATTTTGGTTTTTTTCTGGTCTGTAATTCTCAGGCTGCAAGTCAAACCTAGATTTTGTGGCCAGAGAAGTCTGTAACTCAAAAAGTCTGTAAGTCAAGCCGTCTGTAAGTCAAGGATCCACTGTAAAATAAAAACAGCATGTTGATCTTGCCAGTAATGAACCAGAGAGCAAGAGGCAGCTGGTGCCAGGGAGAAAACTTCACCACCTTTTGCCAAATCAGGCACTCTGCTCCCCGTTTGTTTATACCATTGAGCACTCTCTGGACCATGTACAGCAAAGAATATAAAGAAACATACATTATGAAATGCTATAAAAGCCTAAACTATCCCACAAATTAACAAACACGACAGCTGGCAAAATAACAGTTTCAGAGCATACAATACAATATTCCTCTCCTCCTTCCTCCACAATACCGGTTATAATTAGGAAGAGCCTCCCCAAAAGCTTCCCTAAACTGCTCTGTTTTAAGAGCTTTTTAAAGACGCAAAGCAAGGGTGCCTGCTGTAACTCTTGCAAGAGAGCATTTCACAAGGAGGGCTCCACTGCTAATAAAGCCCAATTTCTAGTTGACGTTTTCTAGGCTTCTTGAGGTGTCAACACCCACACGTATGAGATCTGTGAGGACCGGGTCAGATGGGCAGCCAAGCTTGACAGAAGTTCAGACAAGTAACAAGGTCCCAAACCATTTAGGAATGTATATGTTAGAACCAGAACGGTGAACCTGGCATGAAAAATTGACTGCTAAGCAGTGCAGGCGAACCAGAGTTGGTTTAACAGGATCAAACTTTCTCACGCCAACAATCACTCTGGCTAGCACATTCTGAACCTCCAGGAGCTCCCATACCAGCTTCAAAAGGAAGCCCCGTATAGAGTGTACTGCAGGAATCACTTTTTAAGACTACCAGTGCATGGACCAATGTTGTTAGGGACCTGTCATCCAGGTAGGGGTGCAACTACGTGATTCACCAAAATTGGAAAAGCACACATCTGTTTTTCCATGGTCAGTGCTGGGCCTAGAATCACACCCAGACTGCACACCTGATCCTTAATAGGGAGGGTAAATCCCCCACGTTTAGGGGAGATATCCCACAAACAGGTAGATTAACTCCCAAACAACATGATCTCCATCTTGTCTGGATTCAAATTCAGCCTGTTCTTCCTTGCCCCATCCAGAATTGTAACAAGGCAACTTTCTAGGTGCTGGACAGTATCCATTGCAGATGGATTAAAGGAGAGAGAGTTGTGTATCACCCGCATACTGATGACATAATACTCAAAATCTCCTGATGACCTCTCCCAGTGGCCCTATACAGATGTTAAACAGCATTGGGGAGATGATCAACTCTTGTGGGACCCCAAGACTGAGAACCTTTGGGGTCGAAACAGTCTCCCCAAGCTGCACTGTCCTCCCTGTTGAAGAGAATGCTTCCACACATTTCACATTTGTTTACAAGGAAGGGAGAGAGATGAATGATAGATCTGGAAAATCCATGCTGCAATTTTAAAAACCTCAGTTCTCAAGTGATGCAAAATACTACTGAAGTGGGGCGGGGGAATTGTTTCAAGAATCCAGTAATGCCATGTGGATCTATTCAAATAATCTGAATCAATGGTCAACTGAACCCTTCCTTTAAAAAGAGCAAATAGGACATATGGAAAAGCTCAGTATTTACAGTGGCTATCTATGGTCTGGCAGTAATCAAGGTAGCTTTGAACTATAACAACTCTCATAGGATAGAATCCATGCCACTTGACAGTATTAAAATATGTATGTTTTCAGCAATAATAGGATACTACTAGAGAAGAACATTCACACTGGTTGCTTTGCAGCTGTTAAATTCCCTTCATCCATGTGAAAGTTCATCAAAAGCCATACGTAAATGTTTCCAGAAAAAATATATATATAGACTATTCTGTTTGAGATTCTTTTTAATTATGAGACTGAAATACTGTACAGCTCTTTCATTTGGTGGCCAGGTTTAAGGGAGAATGGAAGCATTTTAAACTATGCAGTAAAATGTCCTTTGTGATTTTGTGGTCAAAAACCAAGTTACAAATTAAAACACAACAAATATTTCTAAAGAAACACTGACAACAGTCCTAAATGTTCCCACTCATGAATCAGTGCACATCACTAGGAAGCTATAGATTTCCTCTTTTGCAACAGCTGTAGTATCCATTAGCTTTTGCCACTTTGTTGGCTTACTGAATATACTAGTACATAACCCATTTTTGGGAAGAAGGATACCCACAATCTGTCTTCACTGACCAGATAGGTGGGATATAAATAGAATAAACAAACATGTTAAACCCAATTTAAAAACAGGAGGTCCTCCCCATTGTGTAGCAATGCCCAAAGTTTGTTTAAGGGGAAAAATAAGATTTGAGATGTCAAATGCTTGGAGGGCCTAAGTGTGCTGTGGGTATATTGGAGCCCATAAGGGAGCTACGTGTTGCCCACCCAACAAGGGTATAAGTAGCATATTCTCATTACTTTTAAAAAATCCTTTTCAAAGACATTTGTAAATATTTAACAGAATTTGTTCTATTTTGGTGCCATTCTCTTATTAATTCTAAAGATTATGAACTCTAACAAAAAATAAGCAATGCAAAGAGTAATGTGGCACATTATTTGCTCTCTCTATTGTAGTGAGTAATAGCAAGGGACTATTCTCTAAATACTGTAGCAAGTAACCAATTACTTTTTAAGAATATCTTTCTAAGCTCTGTTTTCTTTATTAGAGGGTTATGAAGGATAGTGCTGTATTTTATTTCACTAGGAAGTCATGTATTTGCATTTTAGTTTTCATTTGTTTGTTTTGTTCAATGATTTTAACTATACCTGCCTTGAATATTGTAGTGCTTTCCCACATCATTTTGTCCTGTGTGTATGAGTGACTGTACAGAATATATTGATCATTATTATTAAGAGTTTTCAAGTGTGTTGTCGATGTATATTGCTAGAAGTCTAGTTATGAGATACAATTTTCTAGCCTTTTAAGATTAGGCTTCTAGTTAAAAAATCTGATTCAGTTTTCCACAGTAGAAATAAAAGAAATAGTTTAGCCAGATGTAGCCTATGAATCACAAAAAGGCATTTAATATGCTGAATAGAGGCACTGCTGGTTTCGGGACTACAAAGAGGCAGTCCTGAAACCAGCAAAATCAGGGAGCTGGACAGGGGACAGATTGTATTTGTCTTCAGTGTGGGAGGGATGGTCACTCTCGAACTGGCCTTCTCAGCCACACTAGATGCCGTTCCAAGTCCTCCATTCAGAGCACATTACTATAGTTGGTCAAGACTGAAGGATGGCTAATCAATGCTGAATACTTTTAGAAGTATCCTTTTGTTCTGTGTACTGCAAGCAGTATTTAGGTTTTTCTGCAACATAACTGAAATATTCTGCTAGATCTGCTACTTGTGATTTGGATTAATTAGCCCAAAATACTTTAGTAATCTTGGCACATAAAAGTACACAAATGCATTCCCACATAAATGCAAACCTGCAAGGAACGTGGCCACGTCCCTGTAGGACATAATTGTAGGGACCATTAGCCCTAACCTCAAAGTAAACAACTTAAAATCTATTCATTTAAAAAAGGAGAAAGCATATGTCTACCTCTGCCACCAAACAAGATGGACTTTGAAAAAAACTTAATTTGAGATTATAATATGAACATTATTTTATTAAATAAACCAGCAAAAGTCAAATCATTTGTTTTCATTTTAAATTTCTTAGAAAAGTAAATGGAGAAGGAATCTCATCAAAAGAGCATTGGTATCCCATCTTTAAGGTTTTGCCATTGACACTTTCCTCAGATTAAAGCCTCCTAAATAACACCCTGCCCCTAAACATTTACACTAAAGCCTTCTCCCTTCAGACCTATCAGAATTCATGGCAGTGTCGGCTCAGGATCAGATTGACATGCTACCAATAACATCACATAGTTGCTGACAGTGATAAGCTTACCATCAAGTATTTTGAAGCACTTGTTTTAGCAGATTTCAGCAGGTGTGTCATTTCTCTTCCTCCATCGTCCTCTATCTCTGTATGATGGCATTTTAAAAAATGAGATCCAGTGCTGAGCATGTGGTAACATTTTGACATTTTACTTCAAGTGCAAAAATGTC